GGTCGAGTTTAGGGATCACTTGCGGTCCAGGATCATTTGCGGTCCATTTTGGGGATCACTTGCGGTCTCGGGGTCATTTGCGGTTGGGGATCATTTGCGGTACTGTACAGTACCAGTCAAGTATTCGCCCATTTTTGATTTGAGATTTTTCGCCGTAATTCGAGCTCAACACCACTTGAAGGCCCAAACATTCTTATGAGTTTTTTAACGCTGACATTTCCCGCCACACCGCCACTGGAGAAGTCAAACGCGGCAGAATCTGAAAAGCCACCTGTTGGGTTCACGAAAACGAGTATTAACAGGCATTGCACGGTTGATTGTAACCGTGGTTAGGCCAAGAAAAGTTTTAAGAAATTAAGACCTGATTAATGATTTTGCGTAGAATTTCATTTGGAAGCCTGTCTATGTGAGAGGTGTCATTGTTGTTGTTGTTGTTGTTGTCTATGATGATACTTATTATTGGGTTTACTTGTCCTTCGACCATCCATTTCAAGTTGATTACAAAGCGCGACAGTATATTTTATTACAAAGTGCGACAGCATTTTTATTACAAAGAGCGACAAGTGTTATTACAAAGTGCGACAGAACAAACGGTTGCTGCGTTAGAAGTATTCGCTGCTCATCACTATAATATGGTGACCAAAATAATTCTTCTATTTATCTCACCTCTTAACAGCAAACACAACTTTTAGATTTTTTCGAAATTTTATAGCGACCCAACAACAGCAACAAAAATAATTGGAACCCTTTTCTCTTCTGTAAAACGGCCGGATGGAAAAACATTCAGAGAAACTACATGTAGGACATCGACTCAGAGGCGTCAGTCTAGCGTTGGCCGGTAAATAGCACAAAATGATCATGACGCATAGTTTTGCATAAATATAAAATTAAAAAATGAATTTTTACAAGGGTAACCTCCATCATAACTCTAGTCGTCAATTAAATGCCCAGTAATCGATCTCATTGTTCAGGTAGGTTGCGATAAAAATAATATAAAAAGATAATGCCGCATTTTTAGGGCACATTATGCGGCCAGAAAGGACTACTGATGTGACAGCAAAATGCAATTTGCGCGGTTATCGTAGCTTAAAAGAATACGATGTGCCAAGCCGAGGTCCTGTACAATAGACTAAAGAAATACTAGAATCATATCAACCCTCGGACGTACACGCAAATTCACACCCCCACCGTGGTACAAGGGAAGGGGGGGGGGGGGGGGGGGGGGGGGGGGGGGGGGGAAAAAAAAGAGAAAAAAATTTTTTTTTTGGGGAATGGAAGGGGGTGGGGGGGGGGAAGGGTGAGAACGTGGGGGTGAGCGGTTGCATAAAAAACAAGAA